GAAGATTCAATTCAATGAGATGTCAACATTGGATTGCTTAAAAAAAGAGTTGAGTGTCAGGGACCTGAAAATAAAGTTTTTCTCCCCCTGACATACAGGTATGGCACATGAAATATGAAATGTTAATTTAACTTTTCTGCTTATTATTCATGTACAATATTATTTTGTCATTCAGCTACTACTTTGACAGAGTGCAAGGAGTGTTAAAACAGTGCTGCTGGAATAAAAGATTAATCTACCACTGGCCAATTAACCAAAGGGTACTTAATGGTCTCTAAAGGCTGATGAAGTCTAGCAACTATCTAAAGTACTCGTTAAAAAGTCCTCTGCATTACCTTCCTTTGCTTGACATTTTGTGAAATACACTATTGTCTTCCAGTAAGTATCTAGAAATAGACTATTAATATATAACCTTAGCAGTTCTACTAAATTTAGCTCCTAAGGAAAGTCTACATTTTAGATTTTTCTTCATTTCCTCTTTGCTCCTTCTTATCTTACAGAGAGCCACTTTTAATTTTTATTTTTCTCCATGTAATTCAGCAGTGGAAGAAAGACTTTATTTCTTGCATGAAAAAACATCTTGATTTTGGGAATCCAAGTTAATTAATTATTATAGCATCTAATCCGAAATCATTTGGTGGCAAAACTGATTTGATGTTCCGTATCAGTCTGTTTGTTCTTCTTGATATTGCATACAATATTACCCTTAAGAAACACCATTCATCTGCAAGAAATAGAGGAACATGATTATACTAACCCTAACTCACTTGAGTGTGTTCATTTTGTAATGTACCAAAGCTGTATGAGTATCCATTCAGATGGCTGAAGCATAAACCAATTTCTCCTGACTCTGATCTCACTCATCTCCCAAAAAACTGCTCTCACTGTCTCATTCCTTCTGTCTACAGTTCCCTTTTTATGCCATTCCGCTATCCAGGCGGTAATATCAGCTACAGATGGTTGGCTGTACAAGTGAAGCTAGAAAGGCCTGTAGCTCTCTCTGGAGGCAAGTCCAGTGGCTGGGGAAATTACACTTTGCTATCAGCATTGCAACATGCTTGGGTGTTGATAGCTTTTTCATAATATACACTATACGCAACTAAATGAGTCGGATGGGCCTGGTACTTTCAGGCTCATAATGCTGAAAGTTACAATTACAGGTGGCAAATTTTCAAATTATGACAGCATATTGGGAGTTGCAGTAACCTCTTCTACCTTTCTCATATTGGCCTTGGTGTACTGGTAGATGCCTTATAGAGGCTTATACTCAACGTTCCTTAGAGACCACTGCTTACTTCATGCCCCATTGCAATCCCTGAGAGCCAGTGAAGACATCTTCTTAATTGTGTGCATGCATCAAGTTCAAAACTAAAGTAGTAAAGGAAGGTGGCTTTGGTGGCTGCTGTTCAATTATGATTTTCTGTTCTGGTATCTACTTGTCTGAACTGTTTAGAGTTAAGATCAGGAGGACATAGGGATAGTCCAATGCTATTGCTGATTAATCCTTTGAGACACAGTAAGCTATAAATCTAGTGGAGACACCCCTCCAGCTCCATGTTTCTAGATTTACAGCCTTCCCAATTCCAACCTACAACCCCCACAATAGCCCACAGAACCAAATATAAATAAATAAAAGGCTGTTCTGTCAAAAACTTCTTATTTAACTATTTACTCAGTATAAAATATTATTGGCTTTAAAATATGTTTCATACTCACATACATCTTAACCTTCAACAGGTATTCTAAAGGTAGGGATTGTTGTAATTTAGATGAAGCAAAAAAGTGCTTGCTCCAAGACATCAGTTTAAATGAGTGGGTCATCAGTACTCAAATGGAGTGGGCCTGGTAGCTGAGAACTTCTGTTTAGTCATGAAACAAGTCTTTGCTGTAAGATGAACTCAGTAGATAAAAGCCAAAAAAGAGCAGATGTATGGGCAAGATGATGGAATGTAGTGTAAACAGCATGCATTATTCCAAAAACTCTCTAGGTGACTGGCAGCAGGCTGGAATAGCAGCTGTAGACTTAAAAAAAACCCTTGCCAGTTTCTTTTCTTTAGATATATTTTTAATACTGATCCTCAGAGGATTTTAATTACCTATGTATGTGTTTTTTTATTGTCCAAGAGCAATAGTGAAAGCTTTAATTAAGGTATTAGAGTTTAAATTGGAGGTGAGGACATTTTAATTAAAATGTCTTAAAAATGGGAAGAGTTCATATAGTAATGCTTTGAAAAAAGTGTTTCCATAACTTGTCTTGTGTATCAGTCTCATGTTTAAACAGTGAGGAGCACAATCCTATATGTACCTGCTGCAAAGTAAGTGGCATAGTTTTCAGTCGGCTTTCTTCCAAGTACATGTGTGTAGGATTGCAGCCCAAGCACATTATTTTACCAAATGGTTCACCTCTTCTAGAATAGTTCAGCATTATTTTTCTCTGTAAATTCAATTGCTGCTCAAATGGTTTTCTTAAATATAAAGAGAAAATCATGTAAACCACCTTGACTTCCCTTTTCAGTAGAAAGGTGGGCTACAACTTAAATAAAAAGTATGTTACATTCTGCTTTCTGCACTACTATTCTGATTCTTTTAGAAAAAGGATTCTGTGAAAATGGCAATTGTAGTAACTTAATACGTATGTTTTTACATAGTGTCCCTGTTGACCTAAAGTTAGTAATTAAAGTAAATGAAACAATTTTGTTGTGACTAACTGAATGTCTACTGCTTTCAAAGGAAGTTATTCTCAGTGGACATTAATTGTATATAGGCTACTGAATGTGGTAACAAGAAAATTAATAATGATAATAAGAAATTATTGTATATCTGTCTGGGTTGGATATTGTTTTTGTGGCTGGGACAAAGCCAGTATGGACATGAATGCATTTTCATCTTATGTTTGAAGGTCTATGGTTTTGTTCTGTGAAAATGGTTGATTTATTCCTGTTGTTGATAGATACTTAATGTCATCTTTGGATAGCAGATTTTAATATAATAATATGAATGTCATACACATATGAACATATATGATACCTCATGGTGCATAATTTAAGGCTTCCATAATATGCCTGTCATCCCCCTGCCTCCATGGATGCAAAATAAGAGATGTGAATTGGATTGATCATATATTGCACACATTCTCCTGTCTCCACTACATTCAAATTTTGCCACTCTGAATGAAACTGCAGTAATTGTACATTTTGTTTTGGGTTTTTATTTTGTTGCCTCCGTGCTAAATTCAAATGTTGCAGCTCTGACTGAAATATGCTAACTGTTGGTTTTTAAGCAAGTTACTGGATCATTATTTACTCAGACTGAATTCAGATGATTTTAGCTAAAGAGTGTGTCTACCCCCTGTTCTGTTTGAAGCTAGTCCAGCAGTGTGTGTGTTGGGAATGGGGAGAGTTCCTTCCAGTTTTTCAGTAGCAAGCAAAGGAACATGCTAGACTTCAGTGACCAAACAAGAACACGGCCAGTTTAAAATAGCAACTCAGAAGCGTGATAAGTCTGTTATGAACCACCAGTGGAGAAACCCAAGCAAAAAAATAATGCATGCATCTAAAGGCTACATTGCAAGATAAGGAATCTTGTGTAAGGACACCCCCTTTTTTGTTGCTGTTGTTTTCCTCTTATTTTTCACTGTGTGATCTTCCAACTCTTTATCTTTCCTTTTTCTTTCCTTAGATTTTTGTGAATGCTTTCCAAGTCCATTCTTCTGTTTTCTGCCTACTGTCTTTAGAAAGGTGCACTTACTTAAAAATATTAACATCACAGTATATATGTTTCTTATCTCTTCAGTTCTGTACAAAATGTTATGTATAAGCTAGCTCTTCAAAACTGTAGCATCTTTCTGCAGTCTCTAATTGGGAGTCTTCACAAGGGAAGTTTTTCATTCCTCTGAGAGATTGCAGTACCATTTTGCCTAATTGTTCCTTATGTTAAACTACCATATTATAAGCATCTTTGGAATATTAAAATAGTACTATTGTTGAGCTCTTAAGGAGAGTTTGGATGTTGTGCCATTAAAGGCTTGGTGGCTTTCTGCTGACTACAGGCTGGTAAAGATTAATACAGAATAAAAACATTCTATATGCAGCACTGTAGCAAAATGAAACATTACAGCAAATACTGAATAGTTCATTTAGAGTTTCACGGCACACTGTGCTGTACCATTTCTGCAGAATACACGATACTGGTCCATTGTCAATCAAGTTCAATAGGACTGAAAGAGTTTGTTTGCATGGTATTCATTTGAACTAAATCCCTAACAAGCCTCATCTGCTAATTGGACTTAACATTTATGTTGCTAAATGAACAGCATTTTGGCTGCAGTGTAGGGTGGTAAGACCTACCCAGTGGAATAAATAACATCTGTTATCTTGTCCTGCTCCAGCTTGGCTTTACCAGTTAAGTGCATTGGCCCCAGGGTCAAGGTTATGGAATTTGTAGTTCCCTGGCTGTGGTGTGTACATGAGGAAGGGAAGAAGCAACAACATAAAGACCAGCCAAACAGACGTTCTGCAGTGCATATGGTCTATTTTGCTTTAACCTCTACAAGCCCTAGAAACCTAATTCAAGTCAAAACATCATGTTTTGTAGTATTTATCAACAGAGTGTTCAAGTAAATTTATTCTTTTGGCTGTTATGTTCAATCAAGATTTAACCACAAAGTGAGATTTGAGAACATCTCAATACTTTCCTTGTGCACAGTACAAGAAATATCAGTGGTGGGGGGAAGGGCTGTAAGGGAATGTTTCTGTGTTCCCTACATTATCCTTTTTGTTTTTAAACAAATATGCCATGTGCAGCCAATCTCCTGTCTCCTTTTCTCTTTGGTACTGAATCTGTTTTACAAGCAGTGAATGCAGCCAACCTATTTGCTATTTGGACAATGCACTGTGCATATGCTGTATTTTATAATATTAAACTTTAAAATTATACACCACATTGGTCTTAACTGCATGTTGAATGCAACTGTTACTATTACTACTTTATTTGGAAAACAGACCCTGATGTCCAACCTGAATGAACTGCAGCGAGAAAAATCAGATTTGCAAGGAAAATTGGACCACCTGACCCAATCTACCAAACTGAGAGAGGGCCTGTGTCCTGTGACATCTGGCCATACTGGAACGACACCAGCAACTCCACTAAAGAATGTTGATTTGGAAATGAAGCAGCTGCAGTGTAAACTGAAGGTGACAATTCACATTGTGGAATTATTATAAAATGAGCACTTTATTTTC